AGGCTGGCAAGGAAGCTGTGCCACAAGCTGAGACGATCACACCAGAGCCAGTCTCTTCAAAGCCAGGCATGCAGAGCCAGCCATCTTCCAAGGATTTGGCATCTTATGAAGATGATGCGTTTGCTTTGCTGAAGAACAGAAAGAGTGGAACAGCAGCAAAGGCCAAAACAAAAGCCAGAGCTGCTAAAAAGGACAAGGTGATGAAAAAGCCAGCAGCTGCACCTGCACACAGCGAGAAGTATGGGTGCTCAAGATGCAGAGGGAATGTGAAAGGATGTGACGTTTGCTGGGATCCCAATTTTGCAGGGGTCAGGCTGCCTGGAAGGCAGGCGTGGACCAAATTCATGGAGAAGAGAAAAAGGGATGCTTTGACCAGGTGAGAAGGTCCCTGCCAGAGCACTGCTTGGGTGAGGCCATTTGCTTCCATGCAAATGCCAGGGGTGAAGCAGCAGGGGTGCTGTCCAAAAAGGGGCATTCAATGCCAAATCAATCTGACCGCTTAGACATGGAAAAAGGACAGCTGGCATTGCCAGCTATTCATGGCCAGTTCAAGCAATAAGCTTTGCCTTTATGTTTGTTTGCAATCAGTCAGTAAGCTCATGTTGTCAGCAGTCAGCCAGCAGGCTCATGTTTTCAGCAGTCAGCCAGCAAGGCTCGTGTTTTTGGAGCAGCTCTGTGCTGGGTTGGGCAGGACATGTAATGCATAGATGTGCCCTGTGTGTCTTCAGCGGTTCAAATGCCAAGGCCGTGGCAGGAACATGACATGCAGCTTGCAAGAAGGACAGCTGAAGCATGTGAGCACCAAGCAGTAGCAGCGAGACAAGTTCAACTTGTGCACCCAGCAATGTGGCACATAGGCACTTGCAAAGGCAGGGGCCTGTGGAGGAAGTCCTTCCATGGCTTCATGAGGACTGACCACGGATGCCAGCCAAAGAACTGTGCATGCTGTGAGGTCCCACCAATGTGCCAGTTGTGTCACTACACTTGGCTGAATGAGCTGAGCCAGCAGAGGAGGCTTGTCTTGGAACAGTTTCACAGTCAGCAGATGAGTTGGGAGGAGTTTGAGGCATACAGCAGCTCGAGTGACAATGGTGACCCTTTGGCAGCTGGCAGCAAAGGGGCACCTGTCAGCAAAGCTGCAGTTGGCCGCAAAGGCACCGCTGGCAGGAAAGGTGAAACTGGCAGCAAGGGCCCCGCTACAAGCAGGAAAGGCAGGAACAAGATGCCCCCTGCTTGGGCTACTGCTTCGGTGCCTTCTTCAAGCAGGAGCTGGAAAGGCAAAGGCATCTCAGAAGAAGATGGTGCTGGTGGCTATGGCCAAGGTGCTGGGAAGCAATCTTCAACGTTTCACCACAAAGGTGGGGAGGCTAGTGAGAAATAGATATGTGGCTTTGTGCAGCAAAAGGCATGGGCAGCTTCAGTGCTGGCAGCAGTCTTGCAGCAGTCAGCCACTTTCAGGCTCATTGCATTGACACACTTTTCAACAGTCAGCCACTTTGAGGCTCATTGCATTGACACATCTTTGCAGCAGTCACAGCCAAATCATTTGTGTTTTGGGTGTGCTTTGGGAACCGGCCCTATATGAACTTATGCTGAAAGCTTTGGCTGCAGACACACAAACGCACAGCCAGTCCTCACACATGCCCTTGCAGAAACAATCATGCTTGCAAGCTGCAAAGCTGTTTTGCTGCTGCCACCTTTGCTTGCTGCACTTTGAATGTGGCTGCTGGCTCTTCTCTACTTTCTGCTGCTGCAGCCCTTCTTCTTGTCACAGGTGCTACAGTGAGCCAAGGAGCCGAATGCCCTTAACTAAAGAACAGCAATGAGCCTCAAAGTGGCCGCTGAAGCCATAGTAGGCCTTTCAAGGTTTGTGCAAGTTCAGATGCCAGAGAATGGAAAGCCATGGCCATGCCATGCAATGCTTCAGCAAAGCAAGCGAGGGACTCAAAGCTCAAGCAGATCAATAAGTTGAGGAGGTCTGTTCCATATGTTTCAGCAGCAGCACTGGAAGCAATTGTGAAGGAAATTGCAAAGGAAGGCATCCCACAGCTTTCAGGCAGAAAGCACATGAGAGAGGGTGCTTCCAATCAGCTTGCAGAAATAAATGGTTTTGGCCCTTTGCTGCAGCAGTTTGATGCTGTGACCTTGCAACAGAGTGTGGTGAAACTCACAATGGTTAACTTCCTGTCCCTGCTTTCAGGTGCATTTGGGCAAGGAGGGTCTTACCATGACCTCATTATGAAGACACACTTGGCAAAGCCAAGCACCTTCACTGATCCTTGGGGGGTCTGCATCTATGCAGATGAACTGCACCCAGGGAACCAGCTGTCCTTGAAGGGTGCAAGAAAGCTGTGGGCAGTTTATGCCACACTGACATCCTTTGGGCAAGCAGTGATGTCAAACTCTGCAGCTTGGATGGTGCTGTTTGTGTGCAGAAGTGAGATTGTAAACCAGCTTGATGGCAACATTGGCCAATGCATCAAACTCTTACTGCATTCCATCAACAACCCCTATGGCAACCCAGCCTATGGAGTGCCACTGCAGTGTGGTGGCACAAGAATAAGGTTGTTTCTACAGCTGCAGATGTTTTTGCAAGATGGTCGGGCAATGAAATACACCTTCAGTGTGAGAGGTGATGGGGCATCCAGATTCTGTCCAATGTGCAAGAACCTGTTTGTGCTCAAGGCAGCTGTTTGCAGTGAAGAAGATGATGAGGATTGCAGTATGATGTGCAAGACTATAAAGCACTCTGAGCTTGACCTATGCACAGACAGTGAGCTCTTCCAAGCTTGGGACAGGCTTGCAGACCGTCGTGGCAGTGTGAGTGCAGGGGATTGGAAATTGTGGCAGCAAGCTACTGGCATGACTTTCACAGCACATGGGCTGCTGGAAGACAAAAGCCTCAGGCACATGGTGAAGCCATTGAAGCAGTGGTGCCATGATTACATGCATGGCATGTGCAGCAATGGTGTGATGAACTCCCTCATTTTTTTGGTGTTTCAATCAATTTCCCAGAATGGCCTCAATGTTTGGAATATCATGTTCAGTTGGCTTCAGCTGTGGACCTTTCCACAGGCAACAAGGCACAGCAAGGTGCACCAGCTGTTCACCAACAAGAGGGTGGAGTCACACAAAAAGGCCAGGAAGCTCAAAGCCCAAGCTTCAGACATTTTGAGCCTGTACAAGATGATTGCTTTTTATTTGCAGACTGTGTGCATGAAGGCAGGCCTCTGCATCAAGCAATGTCATGCATATTTGTGTATGTGCACTGTTCTGGACCTCTTGCAAAGTGTGCCTCATGGGGTTGTGACAGCCAAGATGATCACAGCTTCCGTGGAAGCAGCTCTGGAAGCCATGCGTGCTGCTGGGTGGCAATCAGAAATGGTCCCTAAGCACCACTGGATGCTGCACTATGGTGATGCTCTAAGAAAATTCCAGATGCTGCCAGCATGCTGGAGCATGGAGAGGAAGCACAAGTTGCTGAGGAGGTTTGCAGACCCCATTCAAAACACAAGCAAATACGAGCTGTCTATGTACCATGAAGTCTTGACACAAGAGCTTACAGAATGGCAGCAGGAAGGGGTCTTTGCAAATGGGGTGGGGCTCCTTGCCCCACACCCAGCACCGAAAAAGCTTGCTCTGTTTCTGCAGCAGAACTTTGACTACCTCTTGGGGGTGGAGGCTTGCAACACAAGCCACCGGTGCAGGCTTGGGTGTGGTAGCACTTGCTCCAAAGGAGATATGATTTTGTTCAATGACCCTGGCAGCAAGCATCACAAAGACTTGGCCTTTTCTTGTGGGCAATGCTGGTGCCACTTCGAAGTGGAAGGCATTGTGTACACACTTGCTTCAGAGTTTGCTTTGAAATCCTTTGATGGGGGCCAAGGGAAAGCTGAATGGGAGCAGTTGGACACACATGTGGTGTTGCCTGCTGAGGAAATCCAATGCTCTGTAGTGTACAATCTGGCTAGCAATGGCACTTTGACAACACTTGTGCCTTACCACCTGTGCCCCACGCGGGCAGTTGACGGGGAAGTGCAAAAGGGTGCCACGTGCCAAACATGTGTTCATTCAGCCAGTCAGCACAGTGTGCTCATTCAGCCAACCAGCCCATGGGCTCGTGTCACAGTTCCAGGCAGCAGTCAGCACAATGTGCTCATTCAGCCATGCAACAAGCCCAGTAACCTCAGCCACATGTAGGCTCACTTGCAACCAGCACACATGGCAACCTCAACTGTGGCTTGCAATGGGGGTGTGCATGGGCCTTTGATGATACTCCGCAACTGGCGGTGTGCAAGTCTATGTTGCAGCACATGCTGTTTGCGCTTCTGCAGCTTGCTGTGCCGTTTGTGACCTGCTTCTTGAAAGCACTGCAGCGCTGCCCCATGCAGCATGTCTTTAGAAGCCTTGCAAGCAATCTGGTGCACCCAAAGGTGCTCCTCTTGGCAGGGGCTTCATGGAAAATTGGCTCCCTGTCTCAATGGATTTCAAATTTTCAAAGCCTGGGCAAAGGCGCGCCTGTCCATGTTTTTTTGAGCTTAGATTGTGCAAGTTAATGCAAGTTAATTGCTAGCTAATTATTAGCTAGTGATTTCTAATTTTTTTATAATTAACATACCTAATTATGTTAAAGTACTAGAAGGCTATACCAATTCACCGGCCCATCTAAGTGGTGGGCGGGGGGAAGTGGGCCCCACGTGTTGCGCATGACACGTGCAGTCTGCTGGGTGGGGGGGAGGGGGCCAGGCGTGCATCAATACCTCTTAATTGCACAGGCCAATATGGATAGTTCAGCCTTTCTGTTCTTTAGGGGAGGACATATTTACCATGCCAAGAGAGCACAACGGCACAAGCTGTCAGCCCCGATCACCTAAATCATCAAGTCCATGATCATGCCTGTGAGCCCAAAAAGCATTGAATGCACAAACGACGCCAGGATTGAATGCAGAAACGACACCAAAATTGAATGCACAGACGACCCCGTGACCGTTCCACATGGCCTGAGCCGGGGATGCCTGAGCTGCTGCAGCAGCCTGAGCTGGCGCCACCAGCGGTGCCAGCTCAGGCGGCGAAGGGGCCGCCGCCTCAGCGCCGCCCTTGGCCGCCGCCTTCGCCGCCGTCTTCACCCGCCACCGCCGCACCGATGCGCCGCCCGGGGCTTCAGCCGCGGCTTCGGCGGGCGCCTGCGGCGCAGCGGCCGGCGCGGGCGCCGCTTCGGCCGGCGCCGGCGCCTTCCCCTTCCTCCGCTTCTTCGCCTCCGCTTCCGGCGCCGGAAGCGGCGGAGGGTCCGGTCCCGGCGCTGGAGATTCCCAGAGAAGACGCTGGAGCTGCGCCAGAAGGAAGGCCAATCCTTGGTCAATACAGATCACAAAGACTTACGAGACAGAAATACGAGACAGACTGACGACTTACGAGACAGACATAAATCAACCCAGTCACACCATGGCCAGACCATGGCCAGTGCAGGCTAACATAAGGACTCTCTTCTGGACTGTCGTGCCAGTCGCCAGTAACACAACCCTCTCTGGTGCTTGTCGCTCGGAAACGGGAGAAGCTGAACAGCTCCAACATCCACTGGTTCATTTGGGAGCTTCTTCTTCTTCTTTTTCTTTCCAGGGGGTGAGGGGGGGGGTGGTGTGAAACGTGCCTGGCTTCCCCCTCCGGGCGAAACTGGGCAGCGGGGCAGGCTAACAACCCAAGAACATCCAACAGCCCAGCAGCCCAACAGCCCAACAACAGCAGGCCAACAAAACCATCAGCAGCCCAACCAAGAGCCCACCAAACCAACAGCCCCGGAATTTAAAAAAAAAGGACAAGGTCTTTCGGGGCTTCGGTTGGCCGAAGGCTCGCCAGCTGCCCCAGGTGCGCACGTTGAACCAGCGGCTCTTGGCATCCGGCGCCGTGGCAATCCACCCGGCGCCTTTCTTCCTCAGAGGCTAAAATTGGTGCCGACATCCGCTTAGGCGCCACCCATCAGAAACCCTGGAATCCTGAGGGTCTCGATTGTTTTGGGCCCTCAATGGTGTTCAAGTCTTTTGAAGGGCTGAGGAATTGGTCGTGGTTGTCCATTGGAGGGTGCGGGGGTGTGCATTGGAGGGGTCATGAGGATTCCCCCTAATAGCAAGCAGAAACATGGTCTCCACGAGGTGCAGGACTTCGTCCATCCACAGTAGGGTGGTTGGGTGGGTTTGAGGGTAGGTGATTCATGCCAGGGCCCTTGATTTCCCAACTAAACTGAACAAAAAGGACAGGGTAGCTCTTTTATTGGTAAAAATCAACTCGGAACAAACCATCTTTTTGCGGGGTCCCCTCAAGTGGTTACATTTTGAGGTCTTCTCACAATTCATGAGACCCCTGGCTTAATGATTAATAGGGCCTCCCACCTTTTACCGGGGAATCATCATGTTTGGAATCGAACACGTATTCATAGTATGGGCTTTTTCCTTCAGGGTCAACATTCCCTTGGGGATGCTCTCTCACTGTTTCCCTTCGAGCCACAATTTCGGTGGTGAGGAAACACAAAGCCAACAGCTTGAAAAACGTGAGCCCCATACGGCTGGAAAACAAGCAAAGGACCTGCATGGTGAGCTCCCCCCCACTGGAAGCTCATCATAATATAGACCTCACCCCCAACTGTCTATCCCCCTCCCTCTCCGAACGTGTACCCCTGCTGTACCTCTAATGGCCCCAACCTGCACACCTAGATATGCTGCTAAAAGGGGGGGGGTTGCGGCTGGAGCAGTGGAAGAATGCAGGAGACAAAACCCAATCCAGCCCACACCTAGAAAACCCAGAAAATGCCAGCAACACCTGAAAGGATTCCAATCCGCTTCTTTTCTTTTGCTTGAAAACCTAATTTCTTGGCAAAACCAATCCCCATACCGGCGATGGGATGACCAAGAGTTTGCTCATACTGCTAGCAAACTGTTTTGACGTACCCCGCCAGTATTTCGCCCCCAAAGCCCACATGTGGGGCACACTGAAAACAAGATCTTCAGTCTTCAGATTCTGTGTCTGATTGAACCTTTTTGGTAGGGTATTGTTGGAGGAGACCGCACTTATAGTTCTGTCACCCCAAGTGTTAGGTTAAAGGGATGCAACCCAGGTTTGTGACTTGGAGAGCCCGAGAAACAGCCAAAATCGTGACCCCAAATTCATGTTCAGGTTCTTTAATAAGTTGTAGCCCTCTCAACCACCGCGACTTGGACGGATACTAGTTTTGACATTGGATTTGGGCAGTTGGCCCAAAGCTTCTGGAAATGATTCTTGGATGTTCAACCAACTTAGTAGTTTGTAATCATCTCTACTCTTGGTATGGTAGCAAACAACTTTGTTTTTTGCAGACCCCTGTAAATCCCCCGGCGACCTCGCCTACCGAGAGCTCCTCCGCGACCTTTTCCCCGTGGCGCCACGCCCTCTAAGGTCTTTCCCCTAAACCTGAGCCCCTGGGCAAACGGATTCACATCGGCTGCAATCTGCTGACGAACATCTCCAAGCGAAGGCACACGATTGACACTCCCAAAAAATGAGTGTTCGCTTGAACCCGATCTTGCATCTACGCATCCTCAGAGGATGGCTCCCCATTGGCTTTAAGCCAAGCAAGTCTGGCCTTCGCATTGGCTCGAGTTTTCAGCATCTCACCTTCATCCTGAAGGGCATACCGGCCGAGCTGCAAGCATGTGCGGATCGCGGTGGGATCCATTGCTTTGGTCAGAGCATCTGCAATCTGTGCCCCACTCGGCACCCATCTCAGAGTTATCCCCGACTTCAACTGTTCCTTAATCAAACGGGCCTGAAGAAGTACTCTAAACTCTTGGCAATTGGGTGGTGCAGTGCGGCTCACCAAATCATAGAGGCTTTTGCAGTCCGTGGCAGTGGTGGTTCCTGTCAGGCCCTGTGCTGAGACCGGGATGGGAGGTACCTCTTCTTCAGAGTAAGTGACACTTGCAATTGCTGGAGGAAGCTTCAGAAGGGTCTGATCTCCGAGTTTCCAGGCATCGGACGGTGATATCATCCACGACCAAAACAGTCTAATCCACGACACGTTGTCAAGGGCTTGGGCTAAAGCCATGGTTTCTGCTGCCAACGTGGAGGTTACAACCTTTTGGATTTTCTTCGAATGCCATGAAATGGGATTAACGGGACTCCTCTGGTTCACTTCCAATTGAGTGTTGGTTGCAAATATGAACATCCCTTGATATGCGTCCGTGGTCTTGGCTGACATGAAAGAGGCATCTGAGAATGTCAAGAACCTCACGTCCTGAAAAGGAATGGGCTGAATCTGAATGCTTACCTGCGAATTGGCTTTGGCTTCATGAAGCAAACGGTTGCCATCAATTAAATCCTGTACCTGGGCCTGATTTACCCTCCCTTGCATAAGTCCCAACCGGTGTGACAAGTCTGGGCGGGTGTTGACGGCAGCATACTGAAGGCTACCAATCAAGGCACGGAACTGCTGGCGTTCAGATTCCGACACGGATTCCTCGGGATTGTTCCGTCTGGAACGGGCAAGGACAATTGGATCGATGTCCTTCACATACTCTTCCTGCTGAAGCACAATCTTCCCTGACCTCTCTTGGCGAATTTGAATCCCAGTGAATTTGAACACTTCACTCTTTTTGGCACCAAAAGGGAATATCTTTTCCAGTTGCTGGATGGCATCATCAAACACAGCATCTCCACCACAAAGGCCGTCATCTACATGCACACCTATGGCTCCATGGACAGTGTTGGTTCTGGGATCAACATGAAGAAACAAACAAGGGTCAAATGGGCTCACTTGAAAGTTCAGTCCCAGAAGAGTCTTTCTGAATTCTTCATACCACAGATATGGTGCGTCCACTCTACCATAAGCTCCCTTCAAGAGTTGACAAATTTCGGATGGCTGTAGTTTCATCTGCTCTCGCATTTCACTGGGCGGTTCCATACCGAGCAATCGTTGATCCTTGGCGCTGCCTCTCAGAAAGGCAGTTTTCACATCGAAGGATGAGAGTTTCCACCCTCGGCTGGCAATCATCTGCAACAGCAACATTCTGCCAAGTCTGCTGAGAGTTGGGCTGTCTCTTGGAATGTTTTCAATCTCAGGGTCCTCATATCCTAACACAACCAAACGGGCCTTAGCTTTCTTTGATGGTTTCTGAGGTACCTTGGTATTGTCAGCATCAACATCCTTCCAAGTGAGAATCCATCGACATCTCAGGATATTCTCTTCAGGCAATTGATGTCGCAGGATCTTGGTCACGGTTCCGGTGTCCAGCCATGATGCAACTTCCTGGTGTTTCGCTGCTTGAAACAGTTTCTGCTCCTCAGGCTGAAGACCCGCCAGTTTAACTTCGGACTTTTGGCGCTTGGCTGCGGAAACCACTAAACCAAGGTGTTCCTCCTCCCCATGATGTGCCCATCGATCCAGATCTGCGGCTGTGAGAAAGACTTCACATTTCCATGCTTCTGTGCTCTGAAACAGACTGGCGTCATCCTCCGGCACAGGAACCTCTACCCCATCTGGTACCCTGGTTTCCCCTATCTCTGGAATGCCTGATGTTTCAGTCTGCGAGGGTGCCCTAGACACTGAGGGTTCAACATCGGGTTGCTCTATTTCGGGATTTCGTTCTGGGTGCTCACTGGTCGGCGCACTCTGATCCGGCCGGGAATGGGATCCTGATGGGATTTCTGGTGGAGCCCCAGTTGCTGGTGCCCGAGTTCGAGGTATGGTCAAAGTGTCAGGCACACGCGTCCAATCCTGCAATTGCACGACTCCGGGTGGAATGATCTGCTGAGTTGGACCTTGATGTTCAACCTTGCTAAACTCAACTGCGGATGTGGGACGCACATGTTCAGGTGGTGCACGGAACAGCTTTCCCGACATCGTGACCCAGGTGACTTCTTGGCCTTCTTGTTGAACAACCTTCATGGGACCTATCCAGGCCCCATCACCGACTTTCTTAGTTTTCCATACCATGACCCAATCCCCTGGCTTGAAGTCACTTCGGAAGGGTCGTGGGCGACTCACAAGTGCTCTCCGGATGGCTTGATCATTATCAAGTTGGACAAAGGCGCGGCGTGCCGCCTCACGGCGTTGCAACTCTCTTCGGAATCGCACTCCTTCCGGAGTTTGGGACTCTGCCAATGCATGCGCGGGAATTTCAACATCTGATGTGACGGATGCGGCTACCCGAGACAGCTTCCCAAACACAAGCACTTCGGGCGGAAAACCTCTTACCCTGGTCCACTGGTTCTTTACCATGCAAGCCTGGGCTAACGCACACTGAAATTCATGGAAATCAGGGATGCCAACATCACGGTCCATCCGGTTGAGGATTTCCTGCAAAATGCCTCCATGTCTTTCTGCCTTGGCGTTTTGCCAATGTCCTTCTGCCGCAATGGTGGTTCCTCTGATGTTGAATCTTTGAAGGAAACTGGCAAACATGTCTGAATTCAATTCCCCTGCGGAATCAACATGGAGGTGGTATGGCGCTCCAGCCCACTGAATCCACCCTTGCAGCACGGCGTTGATGGCACCTTCCGAATTTTCATGCTGCACGGCAACGGCTGTTTGATAACTGGTGGCGTAATCTACAAAGTGGTAACAGTTGAATTCTTGGCCTGCTTGGTTCTTCCAACTGATTCCATCCATGGCTACAATGTCACCAAAATCTAAATCGTCCTTGACTGCCGCTGACCTCTGAATCTTGGGTCTCTGCAACTCCTGGCAGGTTGAACACTTCATGTCCGCAACGGCATTGACCATGTCACTCGGCCAATTCTGCTGTCGGAGGACATTTTGCAATTTCTGGCAATGTGGGTGACCAAGGTTTCCATGCACCTTGATGAGTGCCCTGCGCTGCTTGGGTGGCAGTTGCAAAAATGCCGGCCCATGATCACTCGAAGTCAAATCTATGATTTCTCGTTGAGTGAGGTCCTCAGTCACG